AAAAAAAAAAAAAAAGTTTGTCACATTTTTTGTCACTTAAAAATTGACAGAAATAAAAAAAATAAAAGAAGTAACGAACAATAAAAAAAAGGTGATAAAAAAAAGTGACAAATATTTAGAAAAGTGACAAAAAGTTAAAAAAAAACTGCAAACATTCGAAAAAATGACAAAATACCAATCGAAAACATCCAAGTCGTCTTAAGTAAACATGAACATCCAAAACATGGAAATAAAAGATTATATTCAGGCTCAGTACCATAAGAAAAAATGACAAAACACCAATCAAAAATTGGAATCAGTGACAAAAATAATATATATAGCCAACAAAATCACATTCATAAATGAAAACAAAATCAAGATGGTTTTTTTCTCTTTGCTGGGGTGGGATGAAGATTTATCTTTGCCGTAATGGCTTTTTTTTCGTATAATCCAACAAAATTACATTCATAAATGAAAACAAAATCAAAATCAAAATCAAAATACGACTATTTGCTCCAACAGTACACCCGAATGAAACTTTATAGAAATTACCGAGTCAAAAACATCATGACAATGCTTTCATTTGTAGCCAAAATTGGTTCAAAGATTTTTCCTAAGAGCTCTCTTCAACAAGCTTAAATTGAAGCCTATATAATCTATCTAGGTGCAATGACAGCAATCCTTCCAGCAACTTGGTCAAAATCTCGTTGCCCACTAGATGTGATTCTTCTTCCACGCCTTCGATCCATATCTATTATGTTCATGTTCTACAACTGCTGAAGAAGCAACAGACCCACTGCTTTTGCCGAAATGGGGTGAACGATTTTCATTCCTCTTACTCCCATCGTAAATTCTCAGGAAGGCACCGACACCAAGACCTCCCTTTATGTATATATTCCTTGCCATGGAAGCCGACTAATATATTACCAATCAGGATCATACGGAGCAAGTTCTATAAGTACTCCGATTTTCACAATATCGGTCCACTCGGGAAGCTCCATCTTGCCATAACGCTTGAGGTGTGCGGCGTAGGCCTTGACAAACTCATGGAGTGAGACATCCTTCAAGGTTCTAGCAGTAGCCATTGATGCAGATCTCGAATTACGCGCAGCTCGCGATATTGCTTCTTTACTGTAATGGTTTGGGAGTTTTTGGAATCGAAATCGGGGGTTTTGATTTGGGTTGGGTTGGGTTTTTGGGGTTAATTTAGAACATATTAATTACGTGATTAAATGTTATAATTAGTTAATGGGATATTATTCAATTTCATTAATTTTGGAGGGTAATGGTCCTAATTTCCCCACCCTTTTTCTTCTGCTCATGGCCTCATCGTGAACAGTAATTTTCCTCACTTCAACGGTAAATTTCAATTTAGGGGTAAATAACAAGTATAAATTTAAGTATGCTTTTGATTGTCAATATTTTTTATAAAAAATATTTTTTTCACTCATTTTTTTTACTTTTGTGCCATTTGATTGATATTTTTTTCTCATGGAAAATATTTTCCTAATTTTGGTTACATGATCATATTTTTCTGGAAAACAAGGAAAATATTTTCTTTGGGAGAGCATTTGTTTATTTTTCAAGTAATTCACTCTCTCTCTCATTTACCCCCTCTCTCATCTATCTACCAATAAAAGATGGACATGTATTACATTTTCTAGGTTGCAAATTAAATACATTTAATTAATAATTTACATACAATTATGGTTTAGATAATTCAGTTGCCTAGAACTTATTATCTTTTCATCCAAATTCTATACTTGCAATCAAACACATCATAAGTTAATTTAATAAAATTCACGCAAACTATTAACTTCCTTCTACTCATCCTCTCTCCAAACAACCTTTTGTATGACCCTCTTTTTCTACATTTTTATGGGAAACGAAGTATATATCCTTTAAAGCACGAGGAAAAGATTTTATATTAGATTAAAACAAATCCTTTAATTTATAATTCGTTAACAAAAGAATTATATGAATTAAATGCCCATGTTTGGTACACATTAAAATTTTCATTCTCATTTTTCTACTAATTTTCAACCACACATTTTTTAATAAAATAATATTTTCCATTACATCAATAATTTTTCCTTCATTTTCAAGCACACATTCTCCATCAATCTACTATTTCAGAATATATTCTTCCAAAATAATGTGGCTCAAACACACCCGTCTTGATTATATTCTTATCATATTCGCTAACAATACCTTTTTTTTTTTTCCAAAAAATTACAAATAAAAATAAACGCCACCTTAATTTGATTCCAACAAATAGTGATGGTAAACAGGGTAAAAATTGTGAACTCCCATATGATACCAGTAATTCATGTGTTGATAGTTTCCATGTTCCAAAAATATGTCATAGTAAAAACAATAATAAGTTTCCAACCAATTTAACGCTATACTTTCATTGCTGTAATGTCATACTTGATAGTGCATACATAGAGGTCACGAATGACCAAAGAGCTACTTATAAGTGTATTTTACAAGTTTATTTAGACTTTTAAACTTGATGAATGTTGATCATTTGAGCGAATTTTTACTTAATTTATCGTGTGTATATATATATATATATATATATTGCTTTATAAGTGAAAACCTCGACTTGAAGGTGAACCTCGACTTGAAGGTGAATTAGGCATAAGGGAAGAGTTTTGGAGCTTAAATAGGACAAAATGATGGAACTACATGATTGTTGAAAAGTTCAAGGACTTAATTGAAATCTTTGAAAGAGTTGATTAGATGATTCTACAATTTTAGGGATTGCATTCTATTTTTGGAGAAGTTGGGGACCAATTTGAACACTTTTGATGATCAAATTTGAAGGGTTTAGAAGATGAAAGATCATTCTAGAAGCAATTTGAAGTGGTATGACCTAATTGTGACGATTTAAAGTTGGAGGGACCAAAAGTGTATGAAAATTGAGCTAAGGACTAAATATGGATTGAAACACAAACTATTCTATACTGGAGTTATCAACTATTTCAACTGCTACTTGAATTGGTTTATCCTAACACTTGGAATTCGATAGAATTAGGTATAAAGGTTTAGCAAGAGAGCTTAGGCCTTAGGAAGAGAAGAAAGTTCAACTTTCACTGAATCTCCATTAGTAGATCGTGACTTTATCGGAAAAAAGAAATAAGAATATCAAAGAAGCAACATGCTGCAAGCCAACCATGAAGAAGATGTATCGCT